GGGGCACGGTGGGGGGAGGCTCTGGGACCTGGCTAGGAGGGGTGGCCCATGGTCACTAGACGGGTAACAGCGAATGCAGCTTATTGAGCTGTTCGTTTACACCTCCCACCAGAGCGTAGGTGCCGGACACGCGGCGTTTTTATGCCGGGGGGCTCCCTGTGACTATAGACGTTTGTTTTAGTCACGGTAGCGTAACAGCGGCAGGTTGTTATTAATTAATTGGCTTGTTTGTCTCTATTAGCAAATGGCGAATGCCAAATCGCTTCTCTCCTTTTGCTGGTAACTGGAGTTTAACTGAATGGACAAAACATGGAAAACGCACTTTTAGTAACCAAAACAACCCTAAACGTTTTAGATGCAAAGTGTTCTCCTATCAGAACCGTTTCCATGTTTCCAGCGAAATGATTCGTTACTAACCAAAGGGTTTAATTGTCCTCGGTAAATCCAGTTGATTATTTCAGATCAGTCTGAGGAAAATTTTCAAATGTGCCCAAGTTCTTACTTGCACCTCTTGAAAACGAGGCTCCTAAACAACTAGCAATAGCAGATCTATCTCTCTGGTGATGGGACGCTACCTCCTGTTGGCTCCTCTGGCTCAGAGTTACTACAATGAATTCTTTCTCAGGTCTGACAGACTCTGAGCCTTTGAACAAGATCAATCTGATCACTGTATTTACGGTGAGGAAGGAATTTTCTCCAGGGGCTGGATTGACACAGACCATGGGTTTTTTTGCCTTCCTCTCCAGTCTGAGTCATGGGTCATTTTCAGGTTAAACCAGTGTAAATGGTGGAGTCTCTGTAACTTGTAAGTCTCTTAATCATGATTTGAGGACCTCAGTAACTCAGCCAGAGGATAGGGGTCTTTTACAGGACCCGGTGGATGTGGGTCTGTGGCCTGCAATCTGCAGAAACTCAGACAGGATGGTTCCTTCTGAGCTTACAGTTTGCGGCTGTGACTACCGTGGCTGAGCTGTTTATCAAGCTTGACTTCAGGCATTTGATATTCCCCTCCTGATGCTTTGTACTGAAAATCTATCTTGAGTGCAGCGTTTTCGGTGCAGGCTCTTGGCGCCAGCATATTTATTTCCCATGTAGTTGTAGATTAGCATGCCTTTAAATTCAAGCTTTGTTTTTAAAAAAAATAACGCTTAGTCTAAGGGACCTGACAAAACACATTCTGGTTGAAATTTAAAAATGCCAATTTCAGTAAAAATGGCTGATTTGTATCCAGCCTGGTGTGGGGGCTGGAGCACTGGGGTATGTTGGGGGCTGTGCACTTCCCTGGAGTGTCCCTGGGCTCCTTTCCTCTCTGCGGGTGTGTCCGGCCAGAGCAGTGCCCAAATCCCAGGCAGTGGAGAGACCCTCTCGCCCTCCCTGACCTTCCCCTCCTGTCCCTGCAGCTCGCTTTACGTGTCCACCTCAGTCCAGCATTTGCTGTCTCCTCCAGCCACCACCCGCTGTCTCCTGGGTGAGTAGTGTGCTGGCCCAGGCTTGGGGGTGGGGTTCCCCCTACACTCTGTAAGGCCATGCTGATGGCAGCTGGTATTAGCTGTGGCTCCAAATCAGAGGGAAGGGGTCTTTGCTTGGCTCCTGCTGAGCAGCTTATTCTGTGAGTGGAGGGGTGTGGCGGGGTAGGATCTTCCTGGCATGTGGTTCAGGGGGGGTCCCTCCCTCTGAAGTAGCTGCCCGCTGCTCTGACATCTCTCCTCCCTAAGAGGCAGCCAGCTCCTTCCATTAAGCCGGTCCCCAGTGCATGTGCAGCCTGGAGTTGCATCTGACTCCTCACTCTGGGTCTGCGGGGCTGGGGAAGAAGGCAGCTAGGAGTGGAGGGGGAGAGGAGGAAGGAGTGAGAGCCCAGAGAACTGCTGCAGGTGGGAGTACAGAGGGAGACCTCTGTGTCCCCAGGACAGGCATGGAAGTAGTGCCTAGGGTCGCCTGGACAGTCCATTTTTTCAGGCCCCTGTTTGGTAAAAACCCCAGAAAATACCAGACATGTAAAATGTTGGTTATTTTCTGTTTCTCTTGGATGGAAGGCCGGAGGGGACAATCTTCCCCTGCCATGTCTGGCATGGCCGGGGGGAAGCGAGGAGTGCGGGGATTCTGAAAAGGCGCAGCAACTTTTTTTTTCCTCAACAACTTTTGGTTCCTTGGTTTTTTTGCTCAACAAGTTTGGTCTCCTGTTTTGTTTGTTTTGTTTTGTTTTTTGCCATGTTCAGGACTTTTGGTGAAAGCATCTGGCAAGCCTAGTGGTGCCAGTCCTCCTACTCCTGCCATGACCCCAGAGAGTGGGGGGCTGACTGGCCCAACTCGCATGGGGGGGTAGTGCTGCCCTACCCTCTGGGGTGGAGTCTAACCCTGACCAGTCTCCCGCCCCACGCACTGTCAATCCCAGAGGTTTGCTCATCACCTGGCTGCTCAGCCCCCCACCCAGCGGTCCCTGTCCTGCCAATTCCTGAGCTGCTCTTCCCCATAGTCGCAGGCCGCCCCTCGTCCCGCTCAGGATGGACTTGCTGTTCGGGCGTCGGAAGACGCCGGAGGAGATGCTGCGGCAGAACCAGCGGGCCCTGAACCGGGCCATGCGGGATCTGGACCGTGAGCGGCAGAAGCTGGAGACCCAGGAGAAGAAGATCATCGCAGACATCAAGAAGATGGCGAAGCAGGGGCAGATGGTGAGCGAGGATGGGGTCCGGGGAGCATCTGCAGCTGGAGTCCACCCTGTGCCCTGCAGGCCGCAGTGAAGGTCATGGGGTGTGTGTGTGCATGTGCACGCGGTTCCTTGTTGTAACCCACCGCCCTGGCAGGATGTGGTAAAGGTCACAGGGTAAGGCCTGGGGAGCAGGGCTGTCCCTAGCAATCCTGGGGCCCTATGCAGCCCAGCACCTGCACGTCCTCACAGGGAGCCATTCCTCAGGGGCTGACCCCTCCCCTGGGGGGGCACAGGGGCAGAAGCTGTGGGGTGCAGGAGCACTGCAGAGCAGGGAGGGCTCCCCTGCCACTCCAGGAGAGCAGGTGGGAGTCAGGGCCGCCCACTGCTTCTCCCGTGTCTGCTGGTCCGCAGGCTTAAGCCCAGTGAGTGGCAGGTGTGGCATGAGGCTTGTGGGAGGGGATGGAGCTGGGTGCCAGAGCCGAGAGCTGCTAAGGGAATCAGTTTGGTGGCCCAAATGCCGGGTGCCCCACGCAGCTGCGTATCAGTAGGGACGGCCCTGGCGGGGAGCGTTGTTGCCGTAACCCCTCGCCCCCCGCAGGACGCGGTGAAGATCATGGCCAAGGACCTGGTGCGAACCCGCCGCTACGTCAAGAAGTTCATCATGATGCGCGCGAACATCCAGGCCGTGTCGCTCAAGATCCAGACCCTCAAGTCCAACAACTCCATGGCCCAGGCCATGAAGGGCGTCACCAAGGCCATGGCCACCATGAACAGACAGGTAGGGGGGCTGCTGGGCCAGGAGGTGGGGGGCTCCCAGCTAGGCCAGCCTGGCCTCTCCCAGCAGGGCCCGCTATGGGGCCAGTCCACCAGCTTTTGCCCAAGGCAGTGACGGCGTCTGTTCCGCCCCCCCTTCCAGCTGAAGCTGCCCCAGATCCAGAAGATCATGATGGAGTTTGAGAAGCAGTCGGAGATCATGGACATGAAGGAGGAGATGATGAACGACGCCATCGATGACGCCATGGGCAGCCTGGCCTCTCCCAGCAGGGCCCGCTATGGGGCCAGTCCACCAGCTTTTGCCCAAGGCAGTGACGGCGTCTGTTCCGCCCCCCCTTCCAGCTGAAGCTGCCCCAGATCCAGAAGATCATGATGGAGTTTGAGAAGCAGTCGGAGATCATGGACATGAAGGAGGAGATGATGAACGACGCCATCGATGACGCCATGGGGGACAGCTGGAAGGGGGAGGGACTGAGCCACCCCTGGGGGGATTCCCAAGGCAGAGTGATGCCCTTGGAGGCTGGGAGTTCACCGAGCTGGGGCCTGCTCCGGGGTGATCTCCAGGGGATTATCTTGGCCAGTTTCCCCAGCTGTGAGCACTGGGCTACTGTGTGCGGGGGCTGCTCTTTCCGGGTGCAGGGGGCCGGTCTGGGCTGGGTCCCTGCTCTCACGTGCCTGTCTCTGCCCCCAGTGATGCGGTGGTGTCCCAGGTGCTGGACGAGCTGGGCCTGACCCTGACGGACGAACTCTCCAGTGAGTATCTCAGCAGCCGGGCAGGGCTGGGGGGAGCCCAGGGCTCTGGCGGGGGATGCTCACGGGTCCCCTTGGGGGGCTGGGTCAAGGGGCAGCAAAGCTGCTGGGGGCGCTGGGCCGTGCGGAGGGAGGTCTCTGCTGCCTCACCCTGCCAGTCCCTGGGAGACGGGAGGCGGCTGTGGGGTGCTCCAAACGGGCTGGCCCCGTCTCCCTGCAGACCTGTCCTGCTCAGGGGTGGGGCGTGGGGCCTATAAGGTGCTCTGGGTGGGCTGATTCCCCCCCCTCTCCCCGCAGACCTGCCCTCGACGGGGGCTTCGCTCAGTGTGGCGGCTGGGAAGAAGGCCGAGCCTTCTGCGGCGCTGGCGGATGCTGATGCCGACCTAGAGGAGCGGCTGAAAAACCTGCGCCGGGACTGAGGGGCTGGAGGCGCCCC